TGCAAAAAAATTTTTTTTTGGTTGATTCAGGAAAGAAGTCAGCAGCAGTTGGCTTGGGATCCTGAATGGAGCTAGGAGATGGGTATAAGGGTGATGAATTCCTATAATTCTAAATTCCTATAATTGAGAAAGACAAACTTCACCACTTGTCTACTTTGGACTAGGGCTAGCTTTGTTGACCTTTAACTGTTTCAGGTCAAAGAAAAAACCTGTACTGAAGAATTTCTGTGTTGCATAAGGAAGGCAGCCCAGCCACTTGTGATAAATGAAGATTTCCTGTGTTTGTTTTTTTTTTTTTTTTTTTTTTTGAGACAGAGTCTCACTCTGTTGCCCGGGCTAGAGTGCCATGGTGTTAGCCTAGCTCACAGCAACCTCAAACTCCTGGGCCCAAGCAATCCTCCTGCCTCAGCCTCCCGAGTAGCCGGACTACAGGCATGCGTCACCATGCCCGGCTAATTTCCTCCATATATATATTTTTAGTTGTCCAGATAATTTCCTTCTATTTTTTTAGTAGAGATGGGGTCTTGCTCTTGCTCAGGCTGGTCTTGAACTCCTGACCTCGAGCGATCCACCCGCCTCAGCCTCCCAGAGTGCTAGGATTACAGGCGTGAGACACCGTGCCCGGCCCCTGTGTTTGTTTTTAATAATACTCTCTTGGTTATAAATGCATGTCTCTTTTTCCCCAGACAATTTGTTAATCAAAGTAGATTGCAGGCATCAAGAATAACCTCTTTTAGGCAGCGTGGCAGAAAAATGCACTAGTTGGGTCTGCAGGCCCTGAGCTTAGGCTGCCTGGGTAGGAGTCTGGTTCTGCAGCCCAAAAGTGTATGACCCTGGGCCACTTTGCCAGGCCTCACCCACCTTAGAATGTAGTCACTATTATCATCCCCATTTTATAGATTAGAGGCTGAGACACAGGGAGGTTGTATGCCTTGCCCTTTATCATCTAATATCTGGCACAGAGTAAGTACTCAATACAAGATGGCTATTATTATTATTACAGTGCTTAGAGGCCAAAATTTACAAGCTACAGAGGTCATCTTGTTGAGGGCACTTTCTAATGCCGTAAGGGAGACGAGTTTTGTATAACTCTGGTATTCAAGACTTTCCACACTTTAGCCCAGATATTTTGAAGAGATGAGTTAACATTCTCATCTAAAGGATCCCAGGAAAGGTTTGCATTGCAGTACGAGCTCCATCCTCATGCAATGTTTGCTGAGAGTCTGCTAGCTCCTTGTGGTGCCCTACCCTTAACCAAGGATGGGGTTACCATCCCAAAGTTAATTATCTGGTGCCACCGCCAAAGAGCTCTGCCCAGTTGGTCTTTGATATTTATTTGTGATCATTTGGTTGATAATCCTGTTTACTGGCTTCTGTAGGGCAAAGGACGGCACCTTTGATCTGTTTTGTTTCCTGGCTAAGAGTGAAACTAGTCCTTAGAGACTGTGGGTTGGGTTTTCCTCACCTCCAGTATTAATGTATTCCCCAGAAGGGAGGTGATCCGGGATTCTAATCGAGAAACCATTCTACTTTCTTTTACAAGAAATACTCCAAAATAAGGCTGGGGTGGTCTTTTCTTTTTCTATAGAATTTTGAGAAACAAAGGTCTGATTTATTTCAAACACTGCATTAAAATATTTTATTATTATTTTTTAAAAGAAAATAAAACAGCTTCAGGACAAGAAATTTGATTGGTGCCTAGGACAAGGCAAGACTTAATCAATGGAGAATTTGTTTCACATGTAAAGGACATTATGAGTTTCTCTAAGTATAGGATCATTGCTGTTTTAAAGTCATTTCTGTCAAAGTGCAATTTATTTTAATACTATTAATTTTTACCTTATATAAAACATTTTATTTGCATCTGTGGGAGTATGTGGCTAAATGGCAAATTTTATGGGGATAGAAAAACAACTCATTACATACCTAATAATTTAAGAGGAAAAGTACAGGCTCAAGAGGGGACGGCCATGTAAAGTGTATAAAAAAATCACGTGCCATGTGAAGATGTTTGAGTTCATTCAATATCACATGTGCATTCCTGTCTCTTGGGTTTCCCCATTTGCGTCATTTTATTAAAGCTCTAATTCATGTACTTTCTGTTATTTATGGGAAGAGTCTGAGATACAAGTTGGTTAATGGGATGCTACTCTGTAAACAAGCAAAGCCTTGCTAAATACAGTCTAAGTTATAGGCAACTATGGGTATAAAATCTATAATGGAATTGAGAACTTCTTTGATAACATTATAAACCATGACAGGGAAGCAGAGCATATGATAGTTGTCACTATAACATAGTTGAACCAAACTTATGTCATGCACCTGTGAGTGTTTGTATACACACTAACTTATGGTTCTGCTCTTTAAAGTTTACTCTATTATGTCCTATTTCCCTCCCATTGATCAATGCACAGTGCCCTTCCTCCTTAAGTGAGCCCCTCCCTTCCTTTAGTACAGGTACTAAGGAATCAACACTGCAGCCTTAGGCAACCAAATCTGGCAGTATTTAATATTAACCCCGTCTCCACTAGGGGATATGAAGTTTAAACCAGAAGTTTTTCAAGTATGGCCCTGGGACCAGCAGCACCAACATTTCCTGAAATGTGGTAGAAATGCAAATTCTCAGGCCCTGATCCAGATCTATTGGATCAGGAACTCTGGCTGGGATCCAGCAATCTGGGTTTCAATGAGCCCTCCAGGTGGTTGTGATACTTACTCCAGTTTGAGAGCCATTGGTCTTAACATGTTCTGGTTGCCCTGTACCCTGCCTGTCTGGGTTAACTTCCTGGATGCCCATGTATCTGTGTACTTCAGTTTTTCTCCCTTAGTTTCCTCATGAATGGGTCTCTGGTCTGCCTGATTGGGTTTCTGCCCTGATTTCAGATTTATAAATCTCTAGTTCCTAGCTGAGATGATCACTTGCCCACTATACTGGAGCCCCGTCAGCAGCTTTCCCTAAATGCATCACATTCCTGACTTTTGCCACTTCCCATCCTGGCTGGTGGCCAAGTTGGCATGGAATCAGTTGGGCCATTTAGAGCCAATTCCCACTGGGGCATCTCCATCAAATGGCAACCGCCTGCTGTGCCCCTGACAGGCCATAATAACACTGGCCTTAGCTGACCTCCAGGTACCTCACCCCTGGATACTGTGGTTGACATCACTGTCCTTCCTTATTAGGCCCTGTCCTATGACCTGGATAATTGTCCTAACCTGTCTAAAGCCCCACTATCATACTCCCATCTCCCTGCTTCACAAGATACCAAGAGACTGCATAAGTTATGATACGTATTTGAAGTTAACAGATAGATGCCTTTGGAAAACACTACAGGAGAGTTAGGTAAATACTCTAGCACAAAACATGTCATGGATTTGGGACAATTTCTTCAGGGTAAAAAAAAAAAGAAACAGTAGAAAACAAGTTATATTTGATTACTTTAAGAAAATGCTGACATCACTACATTATGTTCTAAATATTCTAATTTACCTGATAGTATATTCAATACTGTTACCTTGTGGAGATTGGCATCATCTAACTTTTGCTTTCCAAGCCCTAATTTTTCCATGCATGGAGCCACCTACTGAATTTTATTTTCCAGAAGTCTGAACACACCACTGTCTTACTAACAGTTCACAGGGGACCCAGTGCTATAGAGTTTAATTGCAATGTGTGTACTCATCCATAGGAGCCTACAGGTAACTACCACTGTGAAAGAAATTGCAAGTCACATTTATATGCTTAGAAAATAATTCAACAAGCATTTCAAAACACTCTCCATTCACCTTTAGTCAAAGCCCTTTTATGTGTTTAGCAATATTCACAGTACTTCAAGAGGTCCTTTTTTCCTTGAATTTGGTTTAATACATAGCCACTTGGCCCGGTTTAAACATAAGTTTTCTTATGCTAAACTTGTGAGACCTGCTTCTGCTACTTCTTTGTCAAATGAATAGAAAATTACCAGTAAATGCTTAACAGAAGCATTTACATTTGTGGTTATACTCATTTAATTTTTCATGAATTATTTATTCAGTCCTACTATGTGCCAGGCACTATACTAGGTGCTGGAATACCAGAGTCCTTGTGTGTAAGAGTCTCCTTGGTAATTATTTTCCGATCAGATGAATCTTTTCCTGTCAGATGTGGTAGGTGTGAATTTGTCTGACAGGGAATGGGGGGGACCAGGGAAGGACTGCATGACCATCAAGAGGTATGCATTTGAGAAACAAATTGTGATTTGCCTAAAGCACTGTTGTTACCTTTTGGGGTGTGAAAATGAGGACCCAGGTCACAAAAATGTTTAAATAAAGACAACAACATCTTAAAATAGGTTTACCCGTTTTGCCATTGGCACCAGCTATTCATTTTTGTCAGTCGTCTGCTACCTCCATACTTCAGGTTTACAGCCATCATCGTCCAGGCACGGCTCCTTGGAAGGTCCCTGACTGAAACCTTGACCCCCTTTTCCTGTAAGAAACCATCTAACTTGTGTCTACGGCATCCCTCTGGCTAAGCATATGGCTCACTAACCACGTATGTTTAAGCATTCCCCGTGTCCCTGTTTCTATCGTAAGTGCTGTGAGGAATTAAAAACAAAGCAAATTCACTTTCTCCTTGGCATTACAGCTTTTTCTGTACCGATCCTACTAGATTGTGAGTATCTTGAGGATGAGACCTGCGCCATATTTATTTTTGTAAACTCCATAGCATATCACATTGTAATGAATAAATATTGTTGAATGGAAGAACTAATAGATGAATAAATTCATTTCTTGGGACAGACTATAAATAGATACTATCCTAGGACTTCTAAGACTTTTGGAAAAGTCAATTCAGTTGGTAGGTCATATTGTTTCACCTTGGGAGTGAAGGTCAACTTGACTCCAGAGGGCGTTAGGGTACAGACCTGCCATTGTACTTTTGACCAGGAACATCAGAACATCAGAAATTGAACAGTGCAGCCAGGCCTCAGTGATTTTCTTTGCTAAACGGCACCACTCACCTGATCTGGAGCCAGGTCAGCATGGGGGTCGTTCCTCCTCCAAACACCCAGACGGTGAAGAACACGAGGAGCAGCGTGGTGGTAAACATCATCTGTTTGGGCTGAGATTCTGTGTTCCGAATTGCCAAGGCAAATGCGATCGCTCCTCGCAAACCTTGTGGGGAAAACCAAAAAGAAAGTAAACATCTTGCGGGTCTCATTCTCGTTTCAATGGATTTATCTTTACAACTGGCTGACACAACATTTTAATTAACCTTTTTATTTTCAGATACTTGTGGATTCACACGGAGTTGGAAGAAATAGTACTGAGAGATGATGTGGACACTTCCCCAGTTTCCCCCAATGAGAACATCATACAAAACTGTATCACAACATCTCAACCAGAAGATTGACATTGATACAGTCAAAGTAAAGAACATTTCCATCCCCACAGGGATCCCTCACGTTTGCCCTTTTATAATCATGCCTATCTCCCTTCCCACGCTCCCTCCTTCACTCCTGGCAACCAGTAATCTGTTCTCCATTTCTATAATGTTGTCATTTCAAGAATGCTACATAAATGGGATCACGCAGTATGTCACCTTTTGGAATTGCCTTTTTTTTACCCACCATAATGCTCTGGATAGTCATTCAGGTTGTGGAATGTATCAATAGTTTGCTCCTTTTTATTGTTGAGTAGCATCGCACAGTATGGGTGTGCCACAGTTTGTTTAATCACCCATTTGTTGAAGGATATCCAGGTTGTTTCCAATTTGGGGCTATTACAAATGAGCCTGCTAAGATTTCCCATACAGTTTTTCGTGGATTCACACAGAGTTGGAAGAAATACAGTTCACACATACAGTTTTTTGTGTGAACCTAAGTATCCATTTCCCTGAGATAAATGCTCAGGAGTGTAATCACTGGTTAGTATGGTATTTGCGTATTTAGGTTTTTAAGAAATTACCAAAATGTTTTCCAGAGTGGCTATAGCATTTACATTCCTACCAACAATACATAAGTCATCTAATTTCTGTGTATCTTTGCTAGATTTGGTATTGTCACTATTTTTCATTTTAGCCATTCTGATAGGTATGTGGTGATATATTTATTGTGGTTTTAATTTGCATTTTCCTACTAGAAATGGTGTTGAGTGTGTGTATCTATATACTCTTCTGGGTGATATGGCTCTTCATGTCTTTTTCCCATTTTCTAATTGGATTGTTGAGTTGTTTTTTTTTGTTTGTTTTTTTTTTTGAGACAGAGTCTCACTATCTTGCCCAGGCTAGAGTGCCTACTGTGGTGTCAGGTGTCAGCTTAGCTCACAGTAGCCTCAAACTTCTGGGCTCAAGCAATCCTCTTGCCTCAGCCTCCCTAGTAGCTGGGACTATAGGTGCACCAGGTCTGGCCAATTTTTTCCATTTTTAGTAGAGACAGGCCTTGCTTTTGCTCAGGCTGGTCTTGAACTCCTGAGCTCAAGTGATCCTCCTGCCTTGGCCTCCCAGAGTGCTAGGATTACAGGTGTGAGCCACCCCACCTGGCCAGTTGAATTTTGAGAGTTCTTTATATATTCTACATAATAGTCCTTTGTTGGATGTATTGTTTGCGAATATTTCCTCCCACTCTGTAGTTTGTCTTTTCATCCTCTTAAAAGAGTCTTTTGCAGAGCAAAAGTTTTTAATTTTGATGAAATTTGATCTGTTGATTTCGCCTTTTATGAATTGTGCTTTTGGAGTCAGGTCCACCAACTCTTTGCCTAGCCCCGGATCCCGAAGATTTTCCCCTATTATTTTCTAAAAGTTTTATAGTTTTACATTTAAGTTCATGATCATTTTGAGTGAATTTTTTTATAAGGTGAGAGGTTTAAATTGAGGTTCATTTTTTGCCTATGGATGTCTAATCGCCCTATTGAATTGCTTTTGGACTTTTGTCAGAAATCAGTTGGGTATATTTGTATGGGTCTATTCCTGAGTTCTCTATTTTATTCCATTGATCTATGTGTCTGTCCTTATAATATACTCTCTTGATTATTGTAACTATATAATAACCCTTAACCTTGGGCAAAGTGATTCTTTCCACCTTATATTTTGTTTTCAAAAATTGTTCTAGCTATTCTAGTTCTTTTGCTTTTCCATAAAATTTTAGAATAATATTGTTTATATCTATAAAAAGTCTTTCTGGGAACAATTACTTTTTAAAAATCAGATGTGTTAGACAACAAAGAAAACTAAACTTAAGGACCACCAAAAATTAATAAATAATTAAATGACACTTAAAAATTACTACTGATTACACACTTGAACAAAGTCTATAATCTAAACTAACACATTAAAACTCGCTTTTTCTTGTTTTACTTTTTCTTCTTTAATAATAATATGCTAATTGAATTTTTATGAATCCATATTAAATATATTTGCAAGAGGTATTAAAGATTAAACACTAGAACTTCAAATCAAAATGTGATGACATTAATACAAATAGAAATGTAGACTTTGAAGAAGAGTAAATAAAAGCACAAATAGTAAAAGAAAGGAAGAAAAATGGAAGGTCTCTCTTGGCTAACACATGACTTGCAAGACATTTATGGTCCCTGTTATATTGTGTTACAGGAAAAATAAAGATTTATAATGATAGCTAGTATAAGTCAAAGTGGTAGTGATTTGGTTATTTTTATAGGAAGGTTTAAATCACATACATAAAATTTCAACGATCTCCGTGTTATAATATTTACTATAGCATCCAGGTTTCTAAATTGCCAAATCTTTATTCAAACATTAAAGGAAGTTCAAAAATTGGATACAGGGTCAGATGAGGAAAACTATAACCATCTTGGGTTTTATTCCTAGGTTCCCAACATATTATAGAATATAATGCTCCTTTTGTGTCTCCACGCTGAGACTATTCAAGAGACAAGTGGCATAACACAAGATCCAGAGGATTAGACTAGAGAGACTTAATACATTTTGCCTGAAACAAGGAAACTTGAGAAAGAGCAAAGAGCATGTACTTTGATTATAAAATACCTTCAAGGAACAAAATGTAATGGAGGAAGGAAATTATTATAAATCTCCGTGTAGACATGGAAATGGCCTGAAGATAAGGAAGATAACATTTGAAGTAGACATTAATAAAAAAGTTCTTATACATCAGAATTTCTGAACACTTGAGATGGCTGTGCTCAAGAAGAAAAGTGTCCCCGCCAGAGGTGCTCATGCCTTCACACCCAGCTGAGGACAACAGAGTGGGAATATTAATAACCTTTAAAACCGGAGACTGTTTTAATAATTCTCTCACCAGAAAATAGAAATGTTGTCATTAGGGAATGAGAACCCAAGGAAACAGTACTGCAACAGATGTTGGTATCTGTGGAGGGAACTTACAGGTCAAGGTAGCAGCGTTTAATCATAGTGCAAGATTGAAGACAGAGGTGAGCTTTCCATTTTCCCTTTTCCTCAAGCTCATATTGATAGAAATGTCCACCAAACTGCATTGTGCCAAATTAGGTGATTTTAGAAGTGTTAGATGATAAGTTGCCGAATATTTGTTTTATTGTTATAAATGTTTGTGGGTTTTTTTTACTTTGTGTTTTTGTGAGAAAGAAAAGAATTGAAACTAGAATAAAAATTAAAATTTGCTATGCTCTGCTTACTGTAAACTCTTTCATGCTGGATAGCAAGGGCAAGAAAGTAAGCGACCATTAATCTTCCTAAGTGTATTTAATGATGTATTGTTATTACGTTAAACTAGTGTAACTATGTTCTTAAATCTAAATTATCTACATGTGAGCAGTTCTTGGTTTAAAAATATACTCAAAATATATCTTTTATGCTAACTTCTAAAAATATACTCAAATATAGCTTTTGTGCTAACTTCTAAAAAATATATAAAATTCCCTATATTTATAGCAGATGCACTGTAGGGATCTCTGAAAAACGTGGAAAAGTACAGCCACTGTCTTGTGGCAGGTTAAGAAACATGCTAATTAGGACCAAACTGCAAGATATTGACAAAAGGATGCCTTCTCAATGTGATGATCACCTTAAAAAAAAAAAAACAAAAACATAGAAATAGGGTATTTTTTAGAGAAGGGATCATCTGTCCATGGCCCTGGTCACATGTGACACATACAGCGCATGTCACCTGCAAGATGGCATGGCAAAGCTGGAAGCATGGGACTGAGAATGGTGAAGTTGCTGAGTGGACAAAGTGAAGTAATTTAGAACTCCAGATAAGAAGGACAAATGCCTATGTCTTACTCATCCTTTGTGACTCTGAAGTTACTTGTCACTCATTTAGAGCCTAGACAAACGGCAGAGCAATAGCCATTCGTTTGCTTCATCGTATACACAGATATTGATTCCCTGCCATGTAGAGGCTCTGTGCACACTGATCCTCTCTCCTTAACACTACGGTTTTGGGCAATAGAGGATTTTAGGATTGAAACAAATTACTTTGGCTACCAGCAAAACACTAAAAATGAGAAATTAATATTGATGTAGGATTTTCTTTTTAGCAAAACCTTATGTCCAAAGAACACACACCATTTTGCTTAGAAACTCAGGAAATCCAGAACTTACCAAAACTTGTGTTTTGTGTTGTTTTATGTGTGCTTTGACCCTTGGGTTTATCTTTCTCTTTTTCTTTGTTTTGGCCAAATAAACCGAAATAATCCTGTACTTTTAGGGGTTGATAGACTATACCATTTCATTTTAAATGGGTTTACTTTGCAAAGAATTTGACATATTTCATATACTCAGTTGGAAAGTTAGCATGATTTTAGAGAATAAAGGAATTACCTGCAATTAAACATGGTTTCATTTAAAATTGGCCTCTAAGGGATTCTTATGTTAATTATGTTGATGTTCTATTCATAGGAATAGAAGACTACTGAACCAAGGAAAGCTTTCTAACAAGGACCCCTGCTGCAGAAAATGCGCAGCTTCCTGTTCATCTTTAAAGAGCAAAAGTGAACCTTTTAATCAATTACTAATTTGCAAATGTGTTCAGAATGGGTGATGATCAGATATAGCTACATTTCAATCACAGGAATAAAAGTACCTCTTAGGGTATTTTTATTTAAGGTGCAAAGCAATAAACTATAATTTCTTGAGCACCCACTAAAGCTTTATCCAAGACCCAGTGTGGGAATGCAGTGATGAGGAAGTTTGGCTCCTC